GCCCTGAGTCCTCCGGGAGAAGGGCGGGGTATAAATTTAATAAAACTAAACTAAACTAAACTAATCAAGTTTTTTACTTTTATCAGTAGGCAGTCGAGATTCTTCTGAATGATCCCAACTTGATCTCTTTTGTTTATCTTCATCCAAGGACCAGAGAAACATTCTTGATGCACATGAAAATTTTATTTAACTGAAGTGACAGCAGATGGAAGCAACGTTCATAAATTTGCTATGAAAATTAATGAAAAATGAGATATGTATGCTTCCAAAACTTTTGGTAGAGAATTCCAGAAGTTTAATTATGCACCATGTGAGAAAGGAAAAATGTCTCCTATCATATAATGTTGGAGAAAAATTTTTCAATGGGAGAATGTTGGCATTCTGGAGAAAAGAGGTGGATTGCAGTAATGCAGTAATTGTGAGCTGTAAGAGTCCACTGAGATTTTTTTTTTTTAAACTGCATCTAGTTTCACCCCACAAAGAATTTCCTGGGTAACAATCCCTTGCTGTCCCGTAAGACATGAGGCCCATCCTTAGGTCTAACTCATTATTGTAACTTATTTGGGAGAGGACTTCCTACAGGTTATTTTTAGATATCCTTAAAAATGTAAATGCTGAGCTGATGGAGACTCCCCCCCCACCTTCCTGTATTTCTTTCTTTCTGAGGGTTCCTTATCCAGAAATGCTCTGGCTCCCCCTCCTGCTCCTCATAATGCAAGCTGGACAGTTGCAAATCACTTTCCCTGACAAGAAAATGATCTTAAAAACCATTCAAAGGGGAAACCAGTGGCCGAGGAGTGAAGGATCTGTTCTGGCTAGTGGGGAGGAGACAAGAGGATAGTTTTGTCTGGCAAGCTAGAATGTGGAATCCATTTTGAAAAAAAGGAGAAGCAAAACTTTATTTTCAATCCTACCTTTTCAGAGGGCATTTAATTTCGCCTGTTTGGGTGGCAAGACTCCTTCCAGACAAAACAACAATATCAATCCACACCAAGCAGATTAATTACTGCTGAAAGTAATTAAGCAGCTACCTACTTGACTTTCTTTTCTATGTATGTTATTTCCCTTGGAAATTGACATCTCAAAATTCACTCTTTTCTTAGATAGATACTCCTGCTAACATTGCTCCTCTCAGAAAGAATGATGTCGCCCATTTGGCACCTCTGGGAAAGCCCCTCTCGGTTGAAAAAGAGCTGTGAAGGAGAAGCTGGGGCAAGCCTGGCAGTGCACAGTTGGACATATAGTACTGGCCTGTTCAGAAAGTTGGTGGGTGGCTCCTGTCACCCAGGCACCTCAAAAAGCCGTTTTTAAAAAAATAGGTAATAGTTATACTTCTGTGGATGTAATTATAAATAAAATCCACCTGTTGCTTATAGGGTCTGCTTTGAAATAATTGTTTTGAAATCATTGTGGAAAAAGCATATGTTGAATTTGCTCTTAAAACTGAAACTTCTGGACATTTTTCTGCCATCTGGACCAGAAGGAAATATCCCTGGCTTCATGGCTATCTACTTTTGTAGTAAATAGAGCCGGGCTTTAATAACTTTGCTCAAACTCCTTGAAATCTATGCCTTTTTTGAAGGCGAGGCTAGCTAATTCAGCAAGGGCTGTCTTTCAGATTCCTAGAAAAACATCATAGTGTACGTTGATAAATCATTTTCTTTATTATGTTTATGTCCAAACTTGGGAAGATGGATTTTTGCTTTTTCTCTCTCCCAGAACAAGTTTTTTTTTAGCATATTCCCTCTGCCACTGTCAGTTTAACTCTTTGGAAAAAAGGCAGAAGTCACAACGGCAATCCTTTCCCTCTGCCAACAAATTTATTGAACAGAGATGTTCAAAGTCACCAGAAGCTGAGCTAAAGTGAGCGGGAAGGAGATTTTTGTTTCCACTCTTCTTTCCAGAAAAAGTGAATATGTATTGTACAATAATTATTCTGGGACCTGAAGTTTCACCCAATATTTGTAGGATCACATTCAGAGAGTTATCCAGTTTATAACATGTGCCAGTATGAAAATAACAAGTTGATTTTTATGATGTCGCAAGGATGGCTGAAGCAGGGTTTTTTTCCTAGTAACTGTTGCAAAGTGGAAAATGAAATAAAATTGATGGCTTCCTTTCCATAATTCTGGACAGGACATTAGGCATAATTGTGAAAAGAGTTTAATGGCATGGAAAACTGATCTACATATCTTTCCTCCAAAATGTTCTTCGAGGAATTAAATGGGAATTTCCGTGAAGATTTGTGCCCCTGCAGTTGCAAGCCTTAAACAACTGTAAGGTTGACTTGATAAAGCATGACAGTAGCCAAAACAAAATTATGATGAATTTTATAGCAATCCCACCACTATCAAACTGGGAATGATTTTAAGAGTAGGAAATGGTTTTTTTTCCAGTTCTGAACATTCCTTGTGGATTTTTGAAAGGGTTGGTTTCACTCTGCCTTGTGGATTCCCTGAAGAAGCCCACTTCAGTAACTAATGTGTTTTCTTCTCTGCTGTTCAAGCAATTCTCTTTATGTAAAATCTGTTAGGATTAGAGGGGCTGATAAAGATTGCAAAACAAAGCACAGTCATTTAACTGCTAATTGTGAAGGGCAGTTAAATCTCTTTGATGTTCTTAAAGAAAGTCATAGAACATTTGATATAGGGATAGTTCGATATAGCAAACACAGAATGTTTGGACTTTTTAAAAATGCCTGATGACTAGGCAAGGCTTGTTTTATGTTTGTTATTCTATATGCTGAATATAAAATATTTTATTTGAATAATTTATTTATTTATTTATTTATTTATTTCCACCTGGTCTTTAAGGCATTTATTTGCACAAATCTTGTTGAAATTAACAAGCAGAAGTAGCATGTTCATATTTAGAAATATGACTTGGATATCTAGTTATGAGACCACTGCCATACTCCCATAAAGTTTTATGTATAATTATGTGGACTGTATATATGTTTACTTGTTTTCTATCATGTTCTCATCATATGCCAAATAAATAATAAAATTTAGAAATGATAAATGTGGGAAAGGGCAAAAATTACGAATATTTCTGTCTTCATCGTCCACACATATAGTCCTGGACTGTAAGATTTCAAACTGATTTTTAAAGTAAATGTGTAATAAAAATAATTTTATTATTAACTTAGATTTGACACTGTCTCCAGTTTAGAGAAGCACCCTGTTTTCCTAGTATTTCTATCTGTGCAACCAATTCTGCCTCTGTATGAGGCAATATTCCTGTTTGATGAGAATCTGGACTAAAAATGTTTTAAAGGAGAAATAGGTTTTGCAGGGAGAAAGATCTAAAACTAGAAGACAATAATTTAGACTAACTGTACAAAATTGTGCAAACTTTGTGTTGCAGAGAATATTAATGGGAGGAAAGCAGGCTTATACTCCTGAAGTATTGAATTGGCATTAAGAAAGGCATGTTTCCTTTGAAGCTGTGTGCTGTCCTTCAAGTTCCTTTTATTTGAATGGGCAAAAGGATTAGCACTGATTACTTTTCTGATCCAGGGGCTCCAACCGAGGGTGGATCACCATCTAAAATATAAATGTTATAGCTCTGAGCTTCATTACATGATTTCAAGCACCTTGGCCCTCATGGGATTTATTTCTAAGGGAATCTAGTTTTTCTTGCTGATTTTTATCACAATTCCCTTGCACTTGTTTCTGTGATCAGATTCCAGAAATCTTTCACTTTTGAAAAAGAAGTCCGGATCCAGGGGACTTATTTGTGCTATCTTTGTATGCTCAGGCCTTGTTGCCATCCATTTACATATTTCGAAATAAAACAATCAGGGATGTGTAGTTTGCACCGGCCTACGGGAATTGCCTTTCGAAACTGCCTAGCCACAGATCCGGCGAGCTCACTGCGGTGCACTTTATCCACCGAAATAGCAACTTGATCCTTCAGCAGCGACCCACGGAAGTTTCGAGCACTAGTCGGTCCCAGCCTACCTGCCTATATCAGAGAAGGAAAGGAGCTTCGTACGAAAGATTTATCCTTCCCACACCTCAGACCTTCCATATTCAGGAATGGAGGGGAATGACACCGCCTCGTTTTTTTTTTAAAAAAACTCTTCTACTCCATTATAAAGGACTTGGTAATTCATTTGGAAAGGCAATGCCCACTCTTTGCATCGCCCGCGAGGTCTCCTTCCGAAAAAGGCCCCGAAGAGAAGCCTAAGCGCTGCCTCCTTCTGGTTCTGAAGCTCAAATGGGACGGATCGTGGAGAGTAAAAGCAGCTGCACGCTCCGAATCGGGCATATCTACACCACTTCCTTGGACAGAGAGAGCCGGCGAGAACAATTAGCAAGAACCCTGCAGTTTCGAGGACGACCCGGTTCAGGGAACGGAGAGCCCCCCAAAAGCCGATTTTTGCTGGGTCGGGAACCGTCACCAACTTTTGAGGGCAAGGCGGAGGCGTGACTTGCTGCTCCCCTTTCTTCCTTCCTTCCTTTCTCGGCCGTCCCTCTGCCGCTCTGGATTGGCCGCTTCCTGTCCAATCAAGCCCCAGAAGAATTTTTCTTTTTTCTTTTCCTCCGCGGTAGAAAAAAAAAGAGAGAGAATCTGGGAAGCTGATTTTGCTGAAGGGTCGTGGGCGGGTGGATACTTTTCGTTCCCCCCCTCTTCCTTTTTTCAGAGAGGGGGGGTTTCTGGTGTGTGTGTGTGTGTGTGTGTTTGTGTGTTTGGATGTGAGTGCGCGCGAGGTATTTTTTGGGGGGTTGTTATTATTTTGTTTGTCGCGCCTGACTTTCGCAGCGCGTGGCTGGAGCTCTGCGTGGCCTCGTTTCGCCTCCCACGATGCGGCCAGGCCAAGAGACATTTTGGCGTTGAGCTCTCCAGGCTGACCAGGGTAAAGGAGGCAATTAACTGCTCGCTGTTTTGCTGGCGGGCTGCGGGTCAGTCGGAGCACGCAGTTACTGAGCACGCAGTGGGTCCATCTGGCCAGTGAAGGAGCCGAGACCAGAGCGAGTGGCCGCCGGATCGGCAGGATGTACACTGCCGGACTCGCACCCTTTTATGCTTCCAACTTCAGTCTGTGGTCGGCGGCATATTGTACCCCGGCGGGCCCCGGCGCTGGCGGCTGTTTCTCCTTGGATCCTTCGGGGCTCAAGAAACCGTCTTTCTGCATCGCGGACATCTTACACGCTGCCGCAGGAGAAATCTCTGTTGAGGGCCTGCCCGGAGGAACCTCGGCCAATCTGGCCTCCCATTTAGGTGGAATCCATGCCCATGCACAGTACCACGGCGCCGCTTCCCCGCTCAGACCGACACCCATGGTGGCCCCGGACACTTCAGTCGCCTTCGCCACGCGGCTGTCACCTCTCTCGGCTCCCTACCACACCTCTCATCCTCAGCACCAGCGCTCTCCCACAGGGGGCTCCGGCGGAGGTGCACGAACCCCGGGCGGAGGGCAAAGCCGCCAGACCCACCCTGGCTCTGCAGCCGCCCCCTCTAGCAAAGACTTGAAATTTGGGATTGATCGCATTTTGTCTGCCGAGTTCGACCCGAAACTGAAGGAGAGCAACACTCTGAGAGGTTAGCTTTTTTTGCTTTCTCCTCCCTTCTGGAGAACTGAAATTGTTTTGTTAAACTGTACGTGGACCTTTTGTGTGTTTGTGTGTGTGTGTGTGTGTGTGTGTATGTGTATGTGTATGATGAATTTGAGCATAATAGGCTCTTCCGGTTCTTGCAGGGTCCTTTCACGGCCCTTTAGAATGGTCCCTACTGTCTTTTTATTTGAAGGCGGATTATATGTAATCTTCCCAGTTCAACTGGAAGATCAACCCTGTGTGGTCCTGCTATGAAGTTGGGGAGCCTCACTTACAACCTACAGGAAGGGTGGGTTGAAATGGGGAAAAGAGTTTATAGAAGGACCCGTTTTGCTAATTTTCTTTCAGTTATTAATGCCCAAACATTTAGATTGGGTCGGAAAGATTGAAAAAGCAAATCTCCGACTCTAATCAAGTGTAACTTGTAAAATCAGCCCTTTCCAGAATTGGGGGAAGGAACCCAACACAGCTCTGCTGCAGCTGCGGCTGTGGTGTTTCTGTTGTTGCTCAATGGAACAAACAGTTGAGCAATTGGATTGTTTAAAGATTCAGAAATCTTTGGAAGAAATTCAGGCCAGAGTCTCCTTCCAGAAAGTATTTACTTGGAAGTAAGTCTCATTGATTTGGACACCTCAGTTGTAAACTAGTTGAGTGGCTTTTCTTCTTAGGGTCACAGGGTATCTGAATTGTCGGATCAAATAGACCTATTTTCTGACCCCCAAAATTGGGAATAAGTCCTCTTTGAGATAAATGGGGTTTATTTCTGAGTAAGCATTTGTAGCTTTACACTGCCCACCTGTGAATGTATTAATCTGGGTTTTGGAGACGGGAGCAACCAACCTTCTCCGTGAACAAAGTCACCCCATTATCTGCATTATCCCAGATAATTATTTGGACCATATTTATCACCCAAAGGAAAATGATATCTGATTGCACTTAATGTTAAATATCCTCATGGATTATGAGAAATGCAAATTGCCCAAAAAAGCTTTATTTTCCAGGAAATAGACAGACAGATAGGATAGCTGTGATTTCATTGTAAGGTCACATCAAAGCTGCAAAAGAAACTGAGTTTGAATTTTTGGGGTGGATGGCCTAAGCTCCCAAATGGTGAAAGCTGATCTCTTGGACTGAAGCCTATTGGCCCAACCCATTGCTGAGCCTGGAGATCATTTTTATCTATCAGATAAATCAATCTGTTGGTCCCTTTTCAAGCAAATTTAGACGGGTTCAATTGAAGAATGTGCTGAATCAAGCAAGGGAGAATGGTCTAAAGGCCTGTCATAAATGTGAATTGCCATTTTACTTTCAGTGTGGCTACTTCACATTTGTAAAAACTAAGAAAAGCAGCTTGGACTCTTTGTAGAAATATCTTTGGCTGCCCTCTCTGAAATAATGCAGGATTTGAGCCCTTCAATCTTGCTTTGTTTTTCCACTTCCCTCCATTATCCTTGGAGTGGGAAGGGTTACCAAAAACAGATCAACAGCACTGCAGTACAAATGGCTGGCTACATTAACTAGGAAATGTAACTAGGGAGAAAATGCTCCTATAAGTTATGTCCACCCCCATTCCTCTGACATGTGGCATCTAAGGCCAAAAGAGGCACCTGAGAGGTTGCTGGAGAAGTTCTTTCCTGGTTTGGGCCTACCCTATCAAGATAGGGGTGATTTCAGCCTGCTTTGAATGGAATTGGACTTGGTTTTGATCTTGGATGAGGAGCACATGCTATGAGCCTCACAGTGGCATTTGTGCACAGAGGAGTTTGTCAGTTTCAGGTCTGTTAAGGGCCTCCAAACTTTTGAAGGTGGCCTTGGAGTGCCCCCCAGTTCCCTACAGGCCACCAGGGCTTGCCACCAGTGGGCTATGGCCGAGGTATATAGAGGGGGTTGGGACCTGCACCATTCTGCTCATCTTGTAACAGAGCTCTCCTTGTTCCTATGCCCACAGATCTGACCTCTTTATTAACCGCCAGCCGCCCAAGCGGGGTTCATATCCCCACCTTACAGCCTCCGTCGGGCCAGTTCTTCACGTCTCTAGAACCCATTAACGAGACTTCTGGGGTCCTGGGACACTTAAACACAACCCCAAGGAATTCCGTTCAGCACCAGTTTCAAGACACTTTTCCAGGTATAAAAACTCATCCTGGGCACGGATCAATCCCTCTCTGCCACTCTCAAAGTGAGAGTGAACCTGGTTACCTTCCAATTTTCCCATCATCCCTAGACAATGTGGCAGTTTTCCTGGCCAGAATTTAGTCCTTTGGAAGGCACCCAAGTAAGGAAAGTAGATTAATTTTTTTCAAGGGTTGCTTTCTTACCCACTTTTTCTCTCGAACTAAGGATCATTGAAGTAAGCCTATGGAAGGCTTAGCACTTTGCAATTAGGATTCCTCAGCACTGGATCCTAAGCTTCGTTATTCGTTTCAGCAGAGCTTACTTCCACGCAAACGGATCCTGGTTATGGATGGCCCCTTTGACACTCAACCTTAATCACAGATGTGAAAAAAGGAGCTAACGAAGGACTCTGTTTCTTTGTCCCTGACTTAATTAATAGTCCCTCTCGGGGCTATTAATATGGAAGGCTCGCGTTTTTAACGTGGCTAAGAACTCTAGCAACATCTGGAAAGCCGAGGGTAAGGGCGCTGACTTTTAAGGAGAATCAGACCCGGGAACCCTTAGAGGGATGTTAAATAGACTAGCGACCCAGCAGCATAAGACGATCCAAAGAAAGAAGGAATTATAGGGGCGGGCTGCCGCGTTATTTCAGGCGCAGCAGCGGCAGCACAGGGTTGTTGTTTTTTTTGCAACCACTGAAAGACAAGATTGGTGATCCTTGACTATAGGGACGGAGCTATTCTTAGCAGCCGGCTTCTACTGGAGTTTCTTGGGAAGTTAGCCCCCCTTGGACGCGCCTTCCCTGCAAGCGGGGGCGGCGGGGATTCGACTGTTATCCGCTCATGATCAGCCCCTTAAACGCCTGTCTCTTCCTCTTCTTTTGTTCAACCCTCCAGGTCCGTATGCGGTGCTTACGAAAGACACGCTGCCTCAGACCTACAAACGGAAACGCTCGTGGTCTCGGGCGGTTTTTTCTAATCTCCAAAGAAAAGGATTGGAGAAACGCTTCGAGATCCAGAAATATGTCACCAAACCGGACAGAAAACAATTGGCCGCCATGTTAGGGCTCACAGATGCTCAAGTAAGCATTTTTTTTTTTTTTTGAAATTAAAAACTCCTTTTGACTAATTTATCTGTAGCCCCATTGAGCATTTAGCTGTGATTCTGCTGGGACGTCTAGGTATTATAAATCCCATTCTTCCACAGGCTGTTTTTTTTGTTGAAGTTTAGATGCTATTTGTTTAAAGCAAAGGAAATCTGTCCCCTTAGCAAAAAAAAAAATAAAGCCCACATACCCCTATATTTAATAGGTAGCAAATAGACTCACCCATTTTACCTTTCATGTGCAACACCCACACCATAAGTGTCTTGTGGTATCCTGATTTCTTACCCACTGGGCAAACAAATGTTTCCAGAGGAGGAACTTATCCCACACAGTAGCTCTACAGTAATATCTTACTGAAAGTGTTTTCATTATTCCTCAGCTTATTCCAAATAATTTCCACCGGTGGGATACACACAATAACCTCACTGCCATAGCATTATTTCAGTTAGGTGGACAGAACACATGGAGCAGACATCAGGCCACATTTGTACAACACAAGTCATAAACATAAAAACAGACAAACAAATTTAATCAAATGTAGCAGGTTAATGGTGTTATGCAACTGCAGCCCCTAAGATTTTGGGTGAAGATTCGCGGGTGAATTCAGTTAGCAATGCTTGAATTCAGGAAAGTGGATATAAAATGGAGTTCTTATATACCTGTTAATATCCTTCTTAGTATTTGTCCATATTCAGAGAAGTTAAAATGCTGCCTTCCAAATTTGTCATCTAACCCATCTGCACGCTCTTCCTGAACAGAGTGTATGTTTGCGCAACAGCCTTAACCACACCAGTTACAAATCAAGCAACTATTAGCCAACATGTTAAACCTAATTTTAACCTTGATTAGATTTTGTGTCTGAAAATGTGTACATGATGGAATGTTGCATAACTTAACTACTTTACGGTTCAGTATATTGAGGAACCAAAAATATAGATCAATTAAATGGGCTGTTAAACTGGGTAGATCTTGTTTGTAGAAGGTGGTTTAAGTGGACAGTGTTTTATGCCTGGGAGAGGCGCCTGCAGGGCAGAAAAGAACAACTCAATCGCCCCTCCTCCCCAACCTCTGGGTGCAACATAAGCAATTTGTTTCTACATGGCTTCGTCCTGAGTAAGACAAGGCAATAAATAACATGTCTAGTGGGACCATAAATTAGGACCAAGATTGATCTGTCATTACAGCCAAAGTGTTTATTTTGGCTGCTAGCGGGAAATGCTAGCAAGAAAGGACAACTGGCCAAGAGGAAACCAAAAATAGGGACAACTGCCATTGACTCCAGCCTAATCCTATGGAATTGAGTCCACAGTTCAATCCTGAGCTTCATATATTCTCTCCTATTGAGATGGTGGGAGAAATTGGACAAATGCACATGTTTCTCTCCCCCCACTCCAGCATACTAGGTTTGATTTTCCATCACTGTGGGTAAGAAGGTTTCCTTATTTTCTTCACATTCATTCACAAATACCATTTCTGAGTGAGTGTGAGCTAAATTTTATAAGCTGGGAAGTCTGTCTTTTGAGACAGGAAGGAAAAGTTCCAGGCACTTTTTCTAACTAATGCGAAAACTGTAGGAAAATGCAAATACTATTCTCTTGGCAGCCTTCTGGATTCAAAGGAAGTTCCTTGTTCAGCGAATAGAAGATGATAAGTCTTATTATACAAGCCTTGATTTATCATCCAGATTCTATCATATCACAGATATGGGAAACCTGTGAACATGTAGAAATGGCTGTGGATATTGGAGGTTCCTATAAAGAAAAGGTGAGACAGGGGTGGAAAACGTTCTTGACACTAGAATAATATTTAATGGAATAATATATAATTATAGAAAATGTTCTATAGGTTTTACTTATTTTAGTATCTTTTCTTTGGACACACAAACATATTGTCCCTATTTGTAAAAAAAAACTATGTCTGGGAAAGCAGGCTTACTCTTTTAATTTTCCTGAGCTCATTTGAATTGTTTAATTGTGCAATACTACAAATGGTTTCTGAGAAGTAATTTCCATTTTCACTGGATTTTCTCCATGGTAAATAGATATTGCCTTAACCTATTTCTTTGAAAACCAAGTTGACAACTTTAACCTGATCTCTCCATTTGTTTTGGAATCAGTGTTAATATTAGTTACCAAGCTACATATGCCCATGTACCATCAAGATGGCCTCTCTTAGAATCATTATCAACGACAACTTTTTGTATTAACAAACAAACAAATAAAAAAATGTAATGATAGAAGCGACTGGACAGTTATAAAGGCAGATTCATAACCAATATCAATGTTATTTTAAATATTTAAATATCTTTTAATAAGTTTTTTTAAAAAAAACCCTACATTTTTTAAAAACGTAGGTATAAATGGGATAAGCTGTTATTGGCATAATAATATATCCCCACCCCTCTAGCTGACATATACTTGGTCCTCCTGTTGAAAATTGAAAGGAATTCCAGCCACTGGAGTAAAATCAGGCTGAGGCACCTTCCCTGCTAGTTTCCAGCATTAAAAAGCCTGGGCTATTTGATTAACATTCCAGCCTTAATCACCTATAGACCACCCAGATCTTAACAAGCAAAAAATGGAATGAAAGAACTAAAAAATGAAAGGGGACTTTGTAATTTTAATGTCTATAATGTAGAGGGACAAATTAAATGCAGAGTTGTACAAATTAAAGAATTTATGTAATTTTGCTGTACAGTACTAAATATGGTAGAGAAGCAGCCGGAGAGCAGAGGAAGACCTGATTCTTCTGTCTCTAAGCTTTTAGCAAGTCAATTTTGTTAGGAAGTGAAAATCTAAACCAGTGATACTTTGCCTGTGAATATTTCTGCATGAAGAGGCTGGGCTCATTTTTAGAAACAGCAGGATTAAGAATTTGTGAAGTATTTATGATGGCAAGAGAAAACCTGGGAGTTCAGCAATTTCACTCCCCCCCATACGTGATTTTTAAAAGAAAATCCAAGGCATTTTCCTTTTCCTCTCTTCTGCCTTTTTTGTCCATTAATATCACTGACCTCGATAATGTCAGTGGAAGGAAGCCAAAGTAATGAATTAGCACTTCAGATTCAGATTTACCCAATCCCCTTTATTATCTTGCATGAAAAAGAGGAGGCATGCACCCACCTTTAAATCCTGAGTCAAATTTTGGAACCCACCTCCTTCTGTGAACAATTGTGTGGCTAGTGTTTTAAGAGGACCCAGCAAAGCGAGCCCATCCTCCAGATTTTGTCTGGAAGTAAAGGGGCAGAGGAATGGGTGACACTCTGCTCAGATAGCATAAACACTTGGAGCCATTGTTGTTGTGGTGCTTTCAGCTAGTCTTGACTTCTGGTAGCTACCTGGACACATCCTTTTTAGGGGTTTTTGGCAAGACTGTGGGAAGTGATTTGCCATTGTCTCTTTCCTAGACAGAGAGAGGGACTGGCTCAAGATCACCCAGCTCTCTTTGTTCTAGCCTGGTGCCTTAACCACTAGTCAAACTTACTGAACCCTAAGGTTAGATTCCCCAAATACCCAGACAATTGTGAACTGCTTCTCTCCCTACCAAAAACATCAACAGCGGTCTCCTCCTCCTCCTCCCACTCCGAAACAGCACCCTCCATCCTTGAAGTGATGTAAGGCCTGTGCTCAAAACACTCTTACCTGGGGCCAACAATGGTTGGATGACTAATGAGAAAACGGCCCTAAATTTTCATTTTAAAAATGAGAATTAACCTCATAAAGACATGATCCTTCCAAATTACTGTATTATTTCTGTATCCAGGAGGACTAGAACATTCCAGTCTACTTTATTTTTAAAATTATCGCAGACCAGGGAGAGGAACTTATTTACAAAATGGAGAAATGCCAGTCTAGTCCTAGCTAATTTTGAGCCACTCCTCTCTTCTGTATTTGTCGCCCCCCTCAACCCTTTGCTTTGTGCTCTCCACCCATACATCCTTTTGCTATCATATTGATGTATTTATTCTTGTGTTCCTTTATCGTACTTTAGCGTTCTATTGTTTTACTTCTGTTTACACGGCTTTCATTTTTCTTCCTTTTGATTATTGTAAGCCGCCTAAGAGTAGCCTCGCGGCGAAATAGGCCGGTAAATAAATTGAACAAAGAATAAATACATCAATAAATTTGCCTGCAGGTGAAAGTGTGGTTCCAGAACCGGCGCATGAAGTGGCGACACTCCAAAGAGGCGCAGGCGCAGAAAGACAAAGAGAAGGAGCCGGCGGAGAAAGTGGCTGCAGCCGGAGCGGGTCTGGGGCCCGGGCCAGCAGGCGAAGGTGAGCTCGAGCGCAGCCCGAGCCGCTCGGAAGGCGACAGTGACAGCAGCGAGGCAGAATCCCTGGATCTGGAGCTCGGCAGCGACGCGGAACGGACTGAGCCGGGAGCTGCCCCCGATCAGGCCGGGCAGCGGCACATCTCGGAGCTGCACCCACCCGCCGGTTTGGAGACCGCTGCTCACTCCGAGCCGCCACCGCCGCCTCCCCCTCTCCCAGGCCTGGAGCAAGGCCGAGAGCCTTTGCGGTGCCCCGAGTCTTCGTTTTGTCTGCGGGACTCTCCGTGATGACCTCCCTTCAGCCAGGCTCCGAGGGGTCAGCCTGACAGAGGCCTCTGGATGCGGGATATACTAACTCCTAGTTGTGGGCAGAGCGCTCCAGAATGGGTTCCGGGGGGAATTGACTTTGGACAGCGGGTGGAGCCGGGCTGCCTTTGGAATCAGGGCCCTGTCTCTGTATGGAGGGTGCGGGGCCCCTCCCCAAAAGACGTGGGGCAGCCCAGAGATGCCCCAGACAGCGCACCCTGAACGGGTCCACTCAGGTAGGCCGGGAGGGAATTCGAGGAGCTTAGCAAAGGCCAAGGAAAAAGTCGAGCTTTGCAGCCCTGGAGCCTCCTCTGGCTCCCTCGCCCCGTTTGCGGCAAGAAGTAGCCCTGCCCGTGGCAAATGGTTGCTTGAAAAACGAGGCTTGGAGAACCAACAGACTTGGATGAAGATGGAGAAAAGTAGATTGTAAATAAAGAGTTTCTTACCATTTAACGGGTATTTTTGTTCATGGCAAAAAAGTAGTCTGGTTGCCTTAATGGTCTGGCAGCTGAGTTGCTGATTCCACCCTAGCATCCATTCCTCTTCTCCCTAAATCTCCCAAATTCTGTGTCTCCCATAGGATGGTATGTAATAAGTACTTTGAAGAAAGGGCAGGCAAAGTTTGTTCCAAACTTTTTTTCTGAAGTAAGAAATCCAAAGTTGTAGTATAGGAAAGCAACCCTTTGAGGGATTTTAAATTTCCCTATTTATTAAAAAGCAAGGGATCTCATATTGGGCTCTGCATTTAATTTCTTTAGTTAAAATGAATGGCTTGATGATAAGCAGACGGCACTTAAAAACAATCCACTAAATAAAATTTGGAGGTGAATCCTTCAATCTGCCCTAAAGGTAGAATACCAACACATAGAGGAAAATGCAGATTAATTTAATGGAGGTGAACATGTAGCTATGGTTTCCAAGCAACTTAATACCTCTATAGTTGTGTCCCTTGCATGTTCATTTTAACAGTCTGCTTTTGGAAGGAACAGTCTGGTATCCAATGTATCTCCATGAAATTTATTTCTAAATGCATAGGGTTGGGCTCCACCTACTTTGATATACTTTGGAAAGAACATCTACATAATTATATTATTTGGTTAAAGATTCAGGCACGTTCATGTTTATTACTTAAAAATGCTTTGAGTAGGGGAAAAGTTAATTTCAAAATAGTCATAGCCAAAAAAAAAGGCAGTTTCCCTCCATAAGGAATTCATGCTCTCCATTGCTGGGTTCTTCAGGAAAGTCAGTCTGAAACTTGAAATTAAGATAGAAATGCAGTTCCAATCCCAATTATTTGAAACTTAGTTGGTAATAAAGCACATAGCATAACGTTCCTTCCTCTCCAAGCATTTTGCTCCTTCTGCACATTTAACCGAAAAGGAAAGAAACAGCATTACAAACAATGAAGTTGTGTATTTAGGAAGAAATTGGGTCTGGGGAGTATTATAGGACAAAATTGATTATTTACTTTTTAATTCATCCTCCACTATTTCATTAACAGCATCCAATTTAATGATAGGCAACTGAATTTGAAAAGAATGTTAAGTTTTGTTACTTCTTAAAAATGAATAGATTTATTACAGATTGAGCTCTCATCTAACTATAAAAAAAACTAATGCTGGAACAACAATAACAGTAAACATCAGGGTAAAAAGAAATTAAAAGTGCCAGAAAATAAAGATAGTTTTAATTCTTTCTTTGGCAGTAGTAATTGTTAGGTGGTTACATAGACTTTTTTGCACTGGTGAAGATAATATTTAGCTGTGTTCAAGCCTCAGGAAACTGAGTTAATCTTTGCAATAAAGCTCAGCCTTCCATGTTAAAATGGGATAAAATGAAGGGATAGATATATGTACAATAAAGGATATTTTTATAATAAAAGGGAAGGTACACACTGATATTGTTACCTATGATATACTCACAATCTGTATATAATTGCTATGCTGATTTTATTTCCACTTTTACCAATAGTTCTAACAGATGTAGGAACCAGACTGAATATTATGAAAGATGATTTATGAATGGTTTTTGCAAGTCACTGGAAATAAGATCTCTTCATTGGAAATTTTTTCACAGACGCCAAAATTTACACACACACACACACACACACACACACACACACACACACACAGACTGTAGCCTTACCCCCTCTGGGGAAGTGTGCAGGGGCCTCTAAAGGTGTTGGCAGAAGGCAAGCAATTCCTAGCCCAGAGGTTTTGCACCCATGCTATAGAGCAAACACTGAAATCAGGGATCCCAGGAACCCTGGGATCTGTAGACTAAGAACAATTAAAGCCCAGAGGAAGAAATCTGGAGTTCCAACCTTTGATTTTTCTTTTAAACCAAAACCCTTTTCCTGTCATTCTTGCAAGAATTATATTGCAGTACTGCAATTTATCTAAATTTGTCTTGGATCATAATGTTCTTTTGAAATCCCAGCTGTGCTACTTAGACAGCCCAAATGACTCATGCCATTTATAGAACCAAATCACAATATAGTGATTTTATTGATGGATTCCTCCCGTTGAACTTTCTGTTACTGATCACAGCTCACCTTATTTTCCTTGAATTTGTTAATCTATGGAGGGGATTATCTGTCCTCCACCAGCAGTGGTTAAGAATGATAAGTGGTAATCCAACAATATATTGAAGGCCTGCTCCTTTAATCCAATCCAAATGAAACAGTTTGCTTTCTTGCTAGATATAGTCTTGATTGTCCACTTGTCATCTTGCCTCAGGCCAGGTATAGAATTGATAGAAATTCTACTTTGTAATCAGTTGGAGCTCATCAGTAGGTGCTCAGGATCAGGTGGCAAGCCCTCTTGAGTATGAGTATCATAAAGTAGCTTGATTTTACTTTATAATTCAGGATTGCTACGGGCCAGGCCTCAGATAGTTTCCCCATCTGATTCCTTGTACTTTCAGCAGAAGTAAATCTCTGTATGTGTATAATAATGCCCAAAAGAAGTATAATAAAAGTAGAATTCTTATTCCTACTACTTCCTAACTCTTGACCATCTTCCATACAAACTGTACCGGTGGGAAAGAGCAACAAGGATAGAAATAGGATGGGAAGAACAAACTCTGTAAAACATTAGCAGACATTGGTGTTTCGGATAACACATTTAAAGAAAGGAAATAATATCTGAAACAATCATTCCCAGCCTGCATAGTTGCTGAAACATGGAAGCAGTTCCCATATTAAATGTAATTTCAGTGTTATTAAGACAAATCCTGGCACCTCTTATTAGTTGGGATTGATGGCAACAGAAGGCAACAAAGATTGTGGTCTTATACCATGTTCTACCACATTTGCTTCTGCATAAACGTTGATAGGTTTCTGTGATTGGGTTTCAATCCTATAACCATATTTGCTCAGAGTAAAAGCCCTTTAATGGGATTTATTTCTGTTTGTTATTGATTTATGGCTGAATTCCTACACAAAGCTTAGCTCTGATCCCAAAGCAATGAAACACAATTACTATACCAGGTAATGTTCTTTGGCCAACAGAATAAGCCATATTATGATTTAATGTGATGTACAACAGTCTTAGCAATATGCTAAAACTATTCACATCTCAGTTTAATCCAATGTCTGTGTTGGAGGAATCAGCCAAAGTGGTATATGTATGCAAAAGTACTAATTTTCAAGAGTTATTATATGCAAGTAAGTCCTATGGAATTTTTTCTTTTTGTTGCTGAATAATGACATTTCAGTCTGTGAGGACATCCCAGTGGCAGTCATTAAGATAATGGAGTTGTCTTTCTATAAAATCTGGAGGCATTGGGTTGTTTTTTTTTATAGCCCCTTCACTCATTGGATTGGGATCACACATTGGTAGCATTTTCATGGAGATTTAGTTTTCAATCTGTGTATTTAAAATCAGGATATCTATAGTTACAGGATCAGTTTGTGCACATGGAGTTAGTAGGAAGCTGGAATCAAGAGTCCCTGGGACTCTTTTTCTGTGCCTGCCTTTATGTAGCCCACTTAACCTATAACTGAGTCAATCCATTTTTTTTGAGTTTGTACAATAAAAGATGAATTACAAATTAAAGGTGCTGAGTTCTCACAATAAGCTAAGCTCCAGCCCCACTCCAAATGAATGCTGAAACATTAGGTTTCACATAAGGACCCCTTCTGTTCTGCAGAAGTCTTCCTTTGAAAAAAAGCTGATCCTCACTACTCTAAGTCTACCCTCCCAGGCTAAAGTACCAAGACTGGCATCTCAGGGCTCCTCCCTGGTCATATGTAGAGAAGTTTCACTGAAGCTTTGGAGTCTTCCTGCAAGATATCTAGCCTGGGTTCTCATTTTACTGAAGTATGTTCCTCTGGCTTGCCATACAGCATGGTGTTCCATGTTCAGATTGGAAGGGTCATGTGTGTCCCTTTGATTTAAATGGGATTTGTAAGTTACGAACCCAGATAAAAGTAATTGGAAGTCAAGTATATTCCTTGATTTGACAATTGCTTAGTTTGTTTTAGCTATTTCCTCCTGGTGTTACAAGTTGGCCTAAACCGCTTTTTGGAAACAAATCTCACCAAAAATGGTCCCTAGCTTCTAATTCAGGATTATTTCCATTTAAGGAAGAGCAGAAATCAATAGGGATTTATCTTCAGGTAACATGTCCATTTGAAAGGTGGTCAGCTTGAAAGTAAAAAAAAAAAAGCAGGTTAAATACAGTTGCAAATATATGCCTCTTTGGTTGCTGTTCTAGCCTGCCTGGAAGAGAAGATTGAAATAAGTAGCCTGAAAGAGGTCTTATTGGGGTTTAATGAACCTAAATAAAGGGCATATTTAAATGAGAATTTGTTACAGGAGAAAATTACATTTAGGACTAGGTGCCAGCCATTCAGGAATGTCTACTTTGTGGACCTGTTTGAAGATATTCCATTATCTTTTCCTATCCCATAAGAGAGCAGCCTTAAATGTAATGCAGTTTTTCTACCCAGGCAAATACTACAGACAGGAGTTATATTG